AAAGCCCTATCCCCAGCTGCCAGGACTTACGGCAACATCAACACATCCAGCCAGCATCCAGGTAGACTGCAAAAGGCCATCGATCCCATGTGTTTTTACAAACAGATACTTGGTCTTCTGCAGACACAGCGCCACCAGCACCTCCAGCCCTGAGAGGCACACGTGGGGCCAAGTGCAATGCATTGGGAGAAGGTTTGGAACTGGGAGGAGGACAAAGAGAAGAAGGAAACACAGAACAGAGGAGCAGAGAAAGGGAGAGAAGAAAGGCGGGTACAGGTAGTGGGAAATGGGAAACCCCCCGACCACCTGAACCTACCATCTAGCCTTAAGCAGCTTCTCTGTAAAGGTTCCCATCTCTCTGGGAATCAAGATATCTTTAAAAAGTCTTCTTTCTTAAAAAATATTCACATATACACATGTGTATCATCTTGCCCACAATCCTAGGAGCTTTTTAGACTCCTCCAAGGAATGATATCCCTCCTCCCCCAGCGATTGATCTGAAACTCCAGCCCTATCAAGGCACTACTCAGGGCGGCAATAATGAAGCAAAAAAGAGAAAACTCAAGAGGGCTGGGAGGGCGGCGGGGTGTATAAGAGGGGAGGAATAAATAGAACAATGTTATTTTGTCTTCTCACAATAATTTTTCCCTTAAAGCATTGCTTTAGGACTTTATCCAAATAAAAAAGATAAAATCCTAGTTGCTTCCAGGCTAGATAGAAAGGTAGATAGATGAGATAGATAGATAGATAAATAGATAGATAGATGATAGATAGATAGATAGATAGATAGATAGATAGATAGATAGATAGATAGATAGATAGATAGATAATAAATGGCCCTTCTGCTCCCCACAGAGCAATGTGGACTATCTTTGCTTCCACACCAGGGTGCTTATAATCACCACAACTTGAACAAAATCCACTTAATGTCCATTTGCTCTTAGAAAATCACTCCCAACAGTTAATTTTCTCAAAAGGTGATGATCCTCTATACCTCTGTCTAGCCAAGATATGTTGTCCGTCTGCCTCTCCTGGCTGCAATCTGTCTCCATGTAGGAATTTTCCATCCCCCTCTAAATGCAATGCCATGCAGAAGACTCAAAGGAAAAGGTAAGAGGATTAGGAGATGGATCGATGGAAGATATTAATGCTCTTTCATGTTGGGTTGAAGAAGGATTTGAGGTCATCAGGAGAGAGGGTAGCGGGAGAATAGACCTCAAGTATTCAAAAGACTTTCTGGATTAAAATCCTATTAAACTCACATCAGCTTCTCCAGGAGGCATTTTGGAAGGTTGGGGTTTCTTTAACATGTCACCATAATTAACCTTCCCTTAAGCTGTTTTGGGTGGGGAACTTTAGCAATTAAGAAACTGAAAAGTTTCATTTTCTATCACCCACACGGCCCTTTGAATGGTTTAAAAACTAGAGTGGAAAGTGGTTTAGCCTAATTGATTTGAGGGGTTCAGATCTCCCACTTCAACCTGCTGTCAGACTCGCCCCTGAGATCTGAGCCCTTCACTAGAAAGGGCATTTTGTTGAGTGAAAAGAATCAAAGGTTCAGATCTCCAATGATGCTTTTCTTCCTCTAATCATTCTCCCACTGAGTGCTACGAAAAGAATAACTCTGCAGAGGGATGGATGGATGTTTCCCCCAAAAAGATCTCTGTCTGGGCCCAGATTCCAGTTCACAAAAACTACCCCCAAACCCACAGGGCCCGTCTCCCCCTGCAGGTGCGAGGCCGTGCCGTTTCAGCCTCGCTTGCCCCCATAGCAGCTGTTCTATTACGTGGCAATGAAAGTCAGGACACCGTGTCAGGTAGGGGCAGCCTGGGTGGGACGGAGTAACCAACCCTCCTAAGAATTCCGGGTCACAAAACCTGTGTTGTTTTAAAGTGGTAGTTTCAGCAGTTTTTTCTTCACTAGGTAGACTGTCAACCCGACTTCAAATATCAATGTCCTGCTCTTTTGAGCCCTGCCAGGGACTTGAACCTGTGATCCATCTAGCCTCTCATAAGCCCAAAACTGATGACAAGATACCTCTGTGTGGAAACGTGGGCTTTTTCACTTTCACACTTGCTGGGTCCTTGGAGACAAACAGTGGGAAAGAGGCCAAATTCCATCAGCCTTGTCCCATTACAGCACCTGTCCCTCTACTGTATTCACCTCGGTGTCCCGTCGCCCTGTCGCCCTCATCAGCCTGTGAGCTCCTTAAGAAAAGGCAGTGCTGACCCCTTCTCTCTCCCGCTCCCAGCACAGAGCCTGACACAAAGCATCGCTGGACACACACTTCCCCACAACTGCACAGAATTCACTCTGTGCCTCAAGGCAAGTCACGGCCTTTGTTCTTTCCAATGAAAGATTCAGGAGTCTGTTGGGCTGCATGACCTCTGAGGCCATTTTCCAGATCTCAGAATCTCTGCAAAAGTAGTTGTGTACAGGCTGGCTTTTCGTGACTCCTGCTCCCAATGCGCCACTGGTGTTATTTCATGAACCCTATGAGATAGAGACTCCTGTGACTCCCATCTGATACAGCGGGAGATCGGGAAAGTCAGCAATTTGCCGTTACACCAAGTGTGGTGTGCCCTGGTCTCAGAGCCTGGGCTCCTAACTATTCTTCCACGGCCCATTAAGAACCTCCTTTCTGAGTCTCCAGTTCAGGCCGCCAGCCCTTCAGCTGATCTACATACATCCTCCCTTGCCCCCAAGGGGCCGCATGCCTGCCTGTCAATTGCTTTGATTTCTTACCCCAGGGCCCCAGCTGGCCAGGCCTCCACCTGCTCCACGCAGAGGCAGAGCTTGGCCCGGGGTCCAGCAGGCCCTTTGTCCTGAGAGCCTGCAGCTCCTGTTGGGAGCAGGTGGCCGGAAAAGCCAAAGACGACGATCATCAGGGAAGCAGCTTGGAAGGTGGAAGGGGGAGGAAGGCTGATAGGGTTGCTCTCAGGAGGAATTCCAAGTTCCCACCCCCAGCGACCTGAGCCCATGGGCATGGCTGTCAACCCTCGGCTAGGGCAGGACCCTGGGACTTCCTTGTCTGGGTGACAGCCACAGGAGGACGAGGGCAGGGGAAGAAGAGAGATCTCCTAGGAAAGCCTGGGGCTAGCTTTTAGAAACTGTTTCAATGGCCTGTGCTAAGAGGTGAGTCTTGTCTCATTTTAAAGCGTCTTGGCCTATTAAAATGCTAGTTTCAGCAACAGAGCCTGAAATCCTCTTGACGTAAAGTCTTCAGTGTTTTTACCAAAAAAAAATAAAAATAAAAACCTTTTGATTTTACAATAGAAAAAAATGGTTTATTTAGGAAAAAACAATAGCTCACCTCAGTCAGCAATTGCACTCCTAAGTACTGATCCAAATGAGCTAGAAACTCGGCCCACATAAAATCCTGCACATGAATGTTTATAATAGCTTGATTTGTAATGGCCAAAATTTGGAAGCAACCAAAATGTCCCTTGGTAGATGAACCGGTAAAGGAGATGGGACACATCCATACAATGGGATATCATTCAGTCACACAAAGACATGGAAAAGCCTTAAATGCGGGTTCTAAGTGGAAGACACCAGTCTTCAAAGGCTACATACTCTATAATTCCAACTGCATGACATTCTGGAAAAGACAAGTGAAGACAGTAAAAAAAAAAATCAGTGGTTGCCAGAGGGCCTGAATAAGGGAACAGGGGTGAACAAGTGGAGCATGGGGCATTTTAGGGGTAGTGAAACCATTCTGCATGAGACAGTTATGGTGGAGACATGACATCACCCACTATCATCAATCACCACGTCAGTATCTGCATTTGTCAAAACCAATAGAACCAAACAATACAAAGCATGACCTCTAATGTCAACTATGGATTTCAGTTAATAATAATATATAACTATGGCTCATCAGTTATAAACATGGACCACACGAATGCAAGATGTGAATAACAAGGGGTACGGTGGGGGGAGGAGAAAGAGGGCATATGGGAACGCTGTACTTCCTGCGCAAGTTTTCTGGAAACTTAAAACTGCTTTAAAAAAATTAAAAGTCTATTAAAACTAGCTCATCTGAATAGGATTTGTATCCTAAAAAGCAGTCACCTTGTTCCGCTCTCTATTTTTTTTAGGATAATCATAATCGTAACGACAACCGCATTCGATGATTTATCCAGACAGGCATGTTCTTAGCACTGTTTATGTATGATCTCATTTAACCCTCACAGAAGCCCTTAGAGCAGTTAAAGGGACGTATCAGGGGTCTCAAAGTCAAGAAGTGGAAGAGGCAGGACTTGACCTGAAGTCTGCCCAACCCCAAGTCCATACTTGTAATGCCTACACTTCATTGCTCTGCTTTACTGCCTTATTGCTCAGGACAGCATTTCAGCAAGTTGATAAGAAGGCAGATCCAGTCTGGACAACTCCCCAATTTAACCATTTACTCCCAAAGGTTTGCTCGGCACCTGTGTTCTGTGTTCACTGGGCTAACCTCCAAGGATATAAATATAAGTAAGAGACTCCCTTGCCTGTAAGAAGCTCCTAAGCTAGTGGAAGAGAAGATAAAGAGATGGACAATGACAGTGAGAGCCTTAGGAACATGGAGCCAGGCAGTCCCCAGCCCCAGAACTGGCATATTATGAGAAGGACATGGGGACAGCCGTCTGGTTGGAATGGAGATAACTACGGAATTTGTCTTGAAGTTGTATTTACATAGAAAGCACCCTGGACCCCCTCACCATCCCACCTCTGCAGATAGGAGATTGAAAGCAAGATAATCCAGAAATAGAAGATGTATAAAAATTGCAGCCACAGAACAAAAACGACTAATAAAAGAAACAGCTATCCTGAGGAAGGGGAAAGAACTAACATTTACTGAACGTCTAAAATATGTTAGGCACTTGTCCAGGTCCCTAAGCTACATCCTCTCCCCTGATTTCCCAGGGTGTCTCCTAGGGTACGTATTTATTTTGCCATTATTTTATGACCAGATGGTTAAGTCGCTGGTGTTGCAAAATACCACTGTTTCTCACCTGTGTCTTTCTCCTTGTCTCTGGAGAGCTCATGCACGGTGGCACCGATGTCGTGTCTCAAGATCTTGATGATGTTGGCCAGAGCAGGCATGCTGCGTTTATCCAGGTGAGTAAAAAATTCATACTCATCTTTCTTTAAACGCGAAGGTCTGGATTCGATGTGGGTCAGGTTTATATCATTTTCCTAGAAAAGAGAATTGGGAGTGTGAAGGGGACAGACACCGGGAGTAACACAGACCAAACACACAACACAGTGAAATGCAGGCAGGGGAGGAACAAGATTGTTTTTATGATTCGAGTAGAAGGAAGTCCTGAAAGTTACACAAACTGTTTACTTTTTTTTTTTTAACAAATGGCATAAGGTGGGGGGAAGAGATCCAATGCTGCAGAATTTTATCACATGGAAATCTGCTGAAGGCCTAGAGTTGCAATAATGGGATATTGATTTGGTTCTAATGTCTAGGACAGTGGTTGCCAAAAATATGTACATATTTTTGTACATATCCCAAATTAAATCCCATGGAATCTCGATAATAATATCTCAATAAATCAACAATGTAAATGCAACATCATTCTGCTTGAAGAGGCTCCACCAGAGTCAGGCTTATTAGGTTTAAATCCAAGCTCTTAATTATATCGGCTATGAAACCTTAAACAATTTGCTTTCATGTTTCTAACCCTCAGTGTCCCCATCTGTCATTTGGTGGTATTAATGGTACCTGCTTCATTAATTGGCTGGGAACATTGGATAAGATGTGCACACCGCCAGGGACATGGTAAAGGCTCAGTAAAAAATAATCTAATGTAATTACCACTCTTGTTTGTATATAAGTGCTTTTCATTCAAATATGCAACAAATGCATCTGTAGCACCTACCAGGTACCGATGACACTTCTAGGTGGTTGGGATACATCAGTGAACAAAACAAAGATGCTTCCTTTTATAAAGCAGACATTCAAGTTGTGGGGAGACAACAAACATAAAAGATAACTGATTTATTATTTTCTAATGATAAGGGCTAAGGAAAGAATACAAGGCAGAGCAGAGCACAGGAGACAGACAGGCAGTGCTAGGGGAGTAGGGCAGACTGCAGCATTTAATAGGGGGGACACATGAGGCCTCATGGAGAAGGGGAGATTAGCATATGGGCTGCTTTTATTAAATGCCGTAAAAAATGATAATTACTTATAGCTACTCAACTTCAATGTCTTTGGCTGGTGATAGTTTAGCTACTATGGGTTTTGTCATTTAAAAAAAGAGTCATTTTCTTAAATTGGTCTTCAAATTTAAACGTGTGGCAAGTTATCTGCTACTTATTCAGAAAGTCTGTGATTTCATTGATAGGAATGTTCATTGTGAAGAAAACTAAGGAGTACCCTCTATAGTTTATTAAAATAAACAACATGGGTTTCCCCAAAGATTGAAATGAACAAAATGTAAACCTGAAAAACGTTGAACTTGAATAACTCCACCATTTCAAGAAACGAAATTCATGAAACTTGTAGTTCAAGAAGTACACATATGTTTTTCCCCTGATGGTTAATGGCATGTGGTTGAAGACAAACAACATGGATAATTACGACAATGATACCTTTTCACTTTGAATGTCACTGTACAGCTTAGAATTGTTTTCTGTGACCTTCCCAACAATCCTTTGAGAAGGTTAAAGCAGATGTAAAAAATGAAATCAGAGCCGGCCGAGTGGCGCGTTGGTTATGAGCTGGCTTGGGACACCAGAGGACCCCGGTTCGGATCCCACATATGAGGGCCAGTGACACTGCCCTCCACGGCTAAGATGCTGAACAACAGCTCAACCTGGAGCTGGGCTGCCGTGAGTCGCCGGTGACAGCGTGGGCTGCAGCCCCTGTGGCAGTGGGTTGCCATGGGCTACCGTGTGTAGCCAGCAGCCAGCATGAGCGGCCAGCAGCCACAGTGAGCGGCCGTCCAGAAGCCGGCGACTGATCTGCCTCGCCCGGGAAGAGCACAATGATGGTGCAAACTTGGGCCAGTGAAGCAACGTCCTCCACAACTAGACTGAAGAACAAAAGGACAGCAACTTGTCTGTTCCCCTTCCCCCAATTCCCCAACAAAAATCTTTAAAAAAAAAAATGATCAGAGATGCAGATGTTTTGCCAAAAGTGGCGGGAGAGAGAGGCCCATTTTTTTCTAACCTCAGAGTCATCCATCTTCTAGCCACACTGCCTCTCCTGCCAGGGGAACAGTGAGCATTCCCCAAACATCACCTTTCGTCATTGTGATGACTATGATGCCAAGCACACAACACATGCAAACCTCTGGGTATAGTAGCCCCCCACAGGGACCCTTCCTGCTCTTTCTTCGCACACTCCCCAAGGGCGCATGATGGAGTCATTATCTGTGAATGCCAGATGCACAGCACAGGCCCCTGACAGCAATGCCAGGTTACCCAACAAGAGGACAATGCGACTAGAGAGAGAGAACGTGGAGGAGGGAAGGCCAGAGCAGAGAGATAGCGTTCCTTCTCTGAAGCTTTCCAGGCAAACAGAGGTAGCTTTCTACACAAAGCAAAGAATAATGTCATCATTTTTGGCTCAGGAAAAAACAGAGTGGGTAAGCCCCACCTGCTATTTACCTAAGTCGAAACTTCAAAAGAAGAAATAGCTAATCCCTGCAGAGACTAGAGCAAAACCAATAGCCAGAATGGCCATAGCCCTGGCGCGCTTGCTTGCTGACTAAGGAAAGGCGGTGTGTGTGTGAGGGGGTGTAGGGTCGAAGAAGGGCTGGGAGGCTGACGATAGGCTGTTAATGTTCCCCGCCCACACCCCACCCCTGGCAACAGCACTTCCAGGGGGAAGCTTTTTACTTTGGGATTAGCCATAAAACAATTTGTGCCCAAAGCCTCAGTTTTTACAATTCTGGAGGTCTAACTTATGGGGAAATTTTTTACCAAATTTTGTAAACGAATGAAATTCCCGTAATAGAGGAATGGTGAGGTGGACAATAGTATAATCACTTAGTGGAGGTTATTAAAAAGCAAGCAATAGCTCCCTGCATGAAATAAAGTGTCAGTCATCGCGCCAAGATTTGTTGACAGTGGTGGTCTCTAAATAATGGGCCTAGAGGGGGTCTTGTTTTCCTGTTTCTAGTTTCTTTTTTTTATCCAACTTCAGTTTCTCTAAAAACAATATGTATTACTTTTATAATGAAAAAAATCACTTTATCACTTCCATGGGTTATAATGATAACCACTCAGGAAAATACTTACGATAGATATAGGTATGTGATCATTAAAACATGTTTTAAAAAACTATGCCCAGTCCCCCCCAAAAGACTAGAATGAAATGCATCAAAATGAGTTATGACAAGATTATATGTAACTTCCATTTATTTGCCAAAAGTCTTGATAATATTGCCCATACAATGAAAAGAAAAATATCGCTTTTAAATGTGAGTGAAGTGTCTGGCTAAGAACACCCAGCCAAATTCCCTACACTGTTTCTTTCCCATTTTAATCAATTTGTTAATAATTAGCTCTCTAGTTTGTCATGCAATTTCTGTACTGAAGTTTTTTCCAGCTTATCAGTATAGATACTTAGATACCAATAATTCTGGTTGCTAAACAAAGCTTTAGTAAATGAATTTTTTTTAAGCATGAGCTCTGTGCAGGTTTACAAACTGACCCATACACACTCACCGCACCTTTGGGTGAGGGATAAAGAAAGGACTCTTCATCTTACCCCATGGGGATCTCTGGGAGGAGGCAAGGAAGGTTTACAGCTAAACATTTCAAAGACAATTTCCTGATCTAAAGGTTAATTTATGCATAAAATAGCTGTGTAACACTTTGATAATCAGGACTCTTGAGCAGAAAGTGTGGGGACCAAAGAAAAGAAAAGTGAAGTGAACAGTCTATTTTAACAAGGATTGATCAGAAACCCCTTTCTGCTCTCACCCTTGAGGAAAATCTTTCTAAAGGGGATAAAGCTATAAATACACAGAGTTCACAGTGGTGAAAATTGGATTTGCTCTTCTGGATCTTTTCTTGACCTCCAGCCTAGCCCCCTTCCCCTCCTCCTCCGTTTCATTGCTTGAGGAAAGGACAATGGTATAGTGAACTAATATGAGTTCAAATTCTGGTTCTGCCACTCAGTACCTTTGGATACGTTAGCTGGCCATTCTGAACTTTTGTTTGTTCGTGTTCAAAATGAAGGTAATATTGTAATATTACCTGGCAGCTTGATGAGAATTAAAAAAGAGAAAAAGCACAATTTTGGCTTCATTCAGAGGTATTCAGTAAGAACTCATTATACTCTGCCTCTCCCAACTTGGGATATATACACATTTCCCTGGGAATCGAAATACATTAAGTTTTATTTGTCATTTTACCCTTCAATATTTGCTGTGCCCTAAACTTTTCTCAGCTCCTTTCCTAAGAGCATATTTCAAAATGGGGGAGGAAAAGTTGAGCATATTTTCAGATGAGACTAGACTGGAATGGGAGGGCTTCTTGGACCATGGCATGCTGTGGCCTAAGAGGAAGCATAAAAGAAGTTATGCGGTGGCCCATTTCAGAGGTAACATCAAAAACATTCACTGAGAATGTCCCAAATCACTGGTCTCAAGTCAACACACCGGGGCTTCCTGTAATGCACCAAATCAAGCACCTTCCATGTGCCAAACATTTTTTTAGGTCCTAGGGTACAACAGTGAACAAAGTAAGAAAATATGCCTGCCCTCCTGGAGCTTACATTCTCAAGGAAGAAAATACACGGTAACTGTGATAAGTAAGTAAAATATAATCTTCAGATGGAATGGCGAAAGCCAAGGCAGGAAAGAGGGATCAGTTATTCCAGGGGTGCAATGGAATGGAGGTGCTATTTTAAACAATATGGGAAGGACTCAACAAATAAACAGGCGACATTTAAGCATAGACCTGAAGTTAGGGAGGGAGCAAGCCAGGCAGGAACAGCAAGTGCAAGGGTCCTGGGGTACGATAGTGTACCGTATGACTGAGGACCATCAAGGAGTCCAGGGTGACTGGAGCAGAGTGAGCCAGAGGGAGGGCGATAGGACATGAGGCAGAGAAGGAACTGGCAAAGGACCGTGTAAGGTATTGTTGGCCATGGCCTTGACTCTGGTTTATACTCCAAGTGATGTAAGAAGCTACGGGGGGTAATCAGGCAACAGAGAGACATCCCTTGACTC